TATATAATTATACCTGAAAACACCCCAAATCAGCCTTTGCTGTGTCTGTGTCTCATGTTGGAAGGAAAAATAAGTGTGGAGGGGGTCTCCTTTCCCACTCTTGGTTCTTGCAGCCCCAGGATGAGTTGTCTGTCAGGATTTCCAGTGGGAGGGTGAAGAAGGGGCCTGGGCAACAGGATCTAGGGGAATGGCATGAAAATGTGTTAGGGAAGTTTAAGGTTGAGTGTTAGAAAAAGATTCAGAAAAAGTTCCATTCATTGAACTCTCACACAGACCAATCAGAAGAGAAACAGACAATTTTGAGAAAGTAAAGAATACTTTTGTGCACAGGAGTCAGGTGTAAACGTGGACTGTGATTTCTCAGAGCACATCCCCAGTGCAGAAGTGCACCGTGAGCTGATACTTCTGACCTCGGTTGTGGAAATCCTGGATAGATCAAGGAATGGCAAAAGAGAAGTGGGGAATGTGGGGACAGAGGGTGCACGAGGACTGGGGTAGGGATGAGGGTGTTTGTCTGAGGGCTGTGTTCCCCCGGCTTTGCTCCCTGATGATGAGAGTTGGTCACTGGTGAGCCATGCTCCCCTTCACCTTCTCCTTGGGAGCAATGTGAAATCAGGTGGGATAATATGGATTGTCTGTCCTTAAAAGCTTCCAGCCTGTGTGAGAGCCCTGTTGCAAGCCCCAGGATCCAAGTCCTGCATGCTGGTACAGTCCCAGCACTGAGCCACAGGTCTCTGCCTGTAGAAATAACCTGTGTTTAATCAGGGAATCCCAGAATTGGTTGGGTGGAAAGGGACCTTAAAGATCATCTCATTCTAATCCACTGCCATGGGCAGGGACACCTTCCAGCAATCCAGGTTGCTCCAGGCCCCATCCAACCTGGCCTGGGTCATTTCCAGGGATGGAACAACCACAGCTTCTCTGGGCACCCTGTGCCAGGGCCTCCCCACCCTTACAGGGAAGGATCTCTTCCCTATATCCCATCTAAACCTATTCTTTAGTGAATTATAAAGCCATGTTTGAAGTAGGAGGACTCCAGCAGCAAATCACAGCTTCAGACACCCTTCTCCACCCTTCCTGTCTTCTGTGGCCCAATGACCTGGTGCACCTCCAGATTTTTCCCAATGCTGCCATACTGGGAAAATCACGCTGGGGAGGAGTTTCTCCCCAAAACGCCTTGTCCCTTTGCCACCAGAGGGAGATGCTGCTCAGGCTCCAGATACACCTCCAGTGCCTGTGTTATGGAATCATTAAGGTTGGAAAAGCTCTGAGCTCATCCAGTCCAGCCATTCCCCAGCGCTGCCAAGGCCACCACTAACCCATTTCCCATGTGCCACATCCACACGGCTTTTGAATCCCTCCAGGGATGATGACTGGAGAGGAGAGGGAGGTGCAGGACTGATGCTGCTGTGGCATTGCACTGGGAGCCAGTGGGAATGAAACGGGGAGCTCTGGAATACTGGAGGTGGAGAGCACAGCAAGTGCCTGGAGGAATCTCCTGGCTGTGGGCATCTCCTTTTACTTCCCATGCATCACTAGGCCATGGGGAATGTTTGAAAATCACTGTCAGGGTCTTGCCCTCTTCAGGAGAAGAGTCATTGACCGGTAAATCTGCCATGGTGCCTTCATGTCCAAAGGTGTGTATGAGAGGGGAGAAACCCCAGATCCCACTGGATGCACAACGGGACCCTGGGGGTTTGGTAGGAGTGGCTCCAGCTGTCACCACCATGGTGCTGCGTCCTGATTTTGGAGCTGTATCCTTGGAGCTGTGCCCAGGTGGGTGACCTGGTCACTCCACACTCTGGTCTGTCCTCAGATCAACCCTTGGGGTGCACAAATCCCAGGTCACTGCTCTGTGTGAAGCAACATGGGAGGCCTGGGCCAGTCCAAACCCAGGATGGAAAACTGCAGCTGGCAGAGGGGCAATGGACCAACTGCTCCAGGCAACCTGCTGATGTTATCTTCCAAATATCCCAAAAGCTCAAGAAGACCCGGGCAGATCCTCTGCTCCTTCTGCAGCATCTCCCATGAAGCTGTTTTTGGATGAGGAATGATCCTGAGCTAGACCAGGATCTGCCCAGCTTTTGGTGATGCTCATCACCAATGTTTGGGCTGGAGTAAGGGGATATCTCCATCCCACTGTGCTTGGACACACTTGTCCAGTGCTTTTGTTCTGGAATAGAAAATTTCTTCTCATTTGCCTCCTGTGAACCTTTTCCTTTCCATTTTGTTTGTTAAGGAAACCCTCTCCATCATTTTAGAGAGGTGGAGGATCATGCCCCAGCTCAGGAGAGCTCAATGCCACAGGTGAGAGGAGCTCTCAAGGGCAACATGGGAGCAGGAACCAAGTGTGAATTTTGACAATGCAAGGAGTGACCCAAGGGCTCCCCAGGAGAACTAGCTGTGCTACTCTGGTGATCTGGAAAAAGGAGCAAACAGGCAGGAACAGAGGCTACGTCCCTAAGAAATTAAACAATGGGCCTGGGCTTGGGAACGTGGCTGTCCTGACCGCTGGCACTGTCCCCTTGGCTTGTCACTCTTGTCCCTCTTTCAAGGTGAAACAAAATAAAGCAGGATGGAGTTGTACCAACAGGGCTTGAGAGTGGGGCAGCAGCCCTACTGGGATCTCACCTTCCAGCAGCCCTATTTCTGAGCACTGTCCCTGGGTGCCAGGTTTTGGACTGGGTGAAAAACATTCTCTCCAGCTCCAAAATGATGTAACACCACCCCACTCCCCACCCCTCCCCATCAAGAAAGATTTCCCCGGAAAAAACATCTTTTCACTTCCAACATTGAAACACAACACTTGGACCTTGCAGAAAAAGACTTATTTGCCCTGGGGCTGTTGTTATTTGTCTGGGTTTTTTTCCAAGCCAAAACTTAGGATATTTTTTCCCCCTTTAATTAAATTTGGTTTGCTGCAAATCCCTTTCTGGTGCCTTCAGTGTTCCTGTAAAAGGCAGGGCCCAGGCTGCAGCTCTGTGCCCGTGGCTCCAAGGCTAAACAATACCACGGAGGGGGGGAGCAGAGGGTAAGCCCAGCTAATCGGGACTTGCCTAATAGGACTGAGTGCTTAATGAGAACCCAGGGACTGTTTCCCTAGCTGGATTTGGCTGGAAGAAAATGCTTTGTGCTCTCAACACCAGGTCTGAGATACCTCAGTTCTCTCAAATATGCTGGAGCAGTGTTTTCTCCCTCCTGTGAATCCATCCTCACTGGACACAAGACAGATTTCTGAGGGATCCATGGGGATCCAGAGATGCTGGAGGAGCTGAACAGGACCCTGGAAGCAAAAGGATCCATGTTTTACTTGAAGGGAGATCTTTCAAACCAAAACACTGTTTATACCTTGATTTTCCTAAGCAAAGCCACCAAAGGGCCCTGCCCACTCCCCTCATGTCCTTGGAGCTCCCGAGGAGCTTTAGGAGGATTTTAGGGATTGACTTCAATAAATAACAGCAAATGTTCCACTGTTTTGCCCTGGAGACTTGTTCAGATTGTCTCTGCCCCCACTGCTACACCCCCAGACTGAGCTGGGGTGTTGTTTTGGGAAGGGGGTGGGATAGGGAAGGTACCCTATGCCTCAGCCTTTCCTGGTTAATGAGGGAGATTTGGGGTTCAGCACGTTGGGATGCAGAGCGAGGTGTCAGGGTTGCAGGGTGTGCACAGGGGGATGGGTGCTGGGACACAGGTGGGTGCTGGCTGCATGGGAGCCCAGATGTGCAGGGTAGGTAGGTGCAGAGGTGGGAGGCTGTCTGCACAGAAACAGTCGGTGGGTGCAGATGCAGGTGGGCATCCCCACATACACAACAAGTTGGTATCAAGCGTGGGTGGCTGTCCAGATGTGCACAGTACCAGGGCGCAGATGTGCGGTGGGTGCCAAAACCAGCGTGTGCCTCCACCCACTGTGGAGTGCTCGGGTGTACTTGCAGCAATCAGGAGCAGTGACCAGGGTTGGGTTCTGTGTCTGGTGCCGGGCTGGGTCCTGGGTCCCAGTTCCCTGCGAGGTCCAGGGCTGTGCTGAGCTGCAGCAGGGCTGGATCCAGGTCCAGGGCTGGAGCTTGGTCCAGGGAAGGGTCCGTGTCCATACCCGGTGCCAGGTCTCAGCTCTCGGTCTGGGTCCCCATCTTAGCCTTCCATTGTGTGCTGGGTCCAGGTCCCGGGCAGGGCCGGTGCTGATGCCAGTGCCAGTGCCGTGTCCAGCACTGGGGCTGGGTCTAGGTCCTGGGCAGGGCCGGTGCTGGTGCCAGTGCCAGTGCCGTGTCCAGCACTAGGGCTGGGTCCAGGCCCGTGTCCATGCCCAGGTCCGGTCGGGCCCGGGTGCTGGGTCTCAAGTTTGGGTGCAGATCCGTGGCTGGGTGCGGGTCCGGTTCTGTGGCCAGGTCCCGGTGCGATGAGGGTCAGGGCGGCGCTGGTTCCTGATGCCGGCCCTGGTGCTGGTCGGTGCCGATGCCGGCCCTGGTCCCGGTGCGGGTCGGAGCGGTTCTGGGTCTGGTCCTGTTCCTGGTGCAGGCCGGGCCGG